GACAGTGTCCTTTGCTTTACAGAAGCTTCTCAGTTTCAGTAGATCCCATTTATTCATTGTTTCTCTTATTGTCTGTGCTGCTGGGGTCCTACTTAGGAAGAGGCCTCCTGTGCCTATATCTTGTAGACTACTTCCCACTTTCTCTTCTATCAGGTTCAAAGTGGACGGATTAATGTTGATGTCTTTAATCCATTTGGACCTGAGTTTTGTGCATGGTGATAGGTATGGATCTACTTTCATTCTTCTACAGGTTGACATCCAGTTATGCCAGCACCATTTGTTAAAGATGCTTTCCTTCTTCCATTGTATACCTTTAGCTCCCTTGTCAAAAATTAGGTGCTCATAGGTTTGTGGGTTAATATCCTGGTCTTCTATTCGATTCCAAAGGTCGATTTCTCTGTTCTTATGCCAATACCAAGCTGTTTTCAATACTGTAGCTCTGTAATAGAGTTTGAAGTCAGGGATGGTAATGCCTCCTGAAGTTCCTTTATTGTATAAGATTGTTTTGGCTATCCTGGGTTTTTTGTTTTTCCATATAAACTTTATTATTGTTTTCTCAAGGTCTGTGAAGAAGTTTGATGGGATTTTGATGGGGATTGCATTGAATCTATAGATTGCTTTTGGTAGAATTGCCATTTTTACTATGTTGATCCTCCCAATCCAAGAACAAGGGAGATCTTTCCATTTTCTGGTATCCTCCTCAATTTCTTTCTTCAAAGACTTAAGGTTCTTGTCAAATAGGTCTTTCACTTCCTTGGTTAGAGTAACCCCAAGATATTTTATGCTATTTGTGGCTATCGTGAAAGGTGATGTTTCTCTGATTTCCCTCTCTGCTTCTTTATCCTTTGTGTATAGGAGGGCCACTGATTTTTTGGAGTTGATCTTGTATCCTGCCACGTTACTAAAGGTGTTTATCAGCTGTAGGAGTTCTTTGGTAGAGTTTTTGGGGTCACTTACGTACACTATCATATCGTCAGCAAATAACGAAAGTTTAACTTCATCCTTTCCAATTCGAATCCCCTTGATCTCCTTATGTTGTCTTATTGCTATTGCTAGAACTTCAAGCACTATATTGAAGAGGTATGGAGAGAGTGGACAGCCTTGTCGTGTTCCTGATTTTAGTGGAAAGGCTTTGAGTTTCTCTCCATTCAATTTGATGTTAGCTGTCGGCTTGCTGTATATTGCTTTTATTATATTTAGGTATGATCCTTGTATCCCCAGTCTCTCCAACACCTTTATCATAAATGGGTGTTGAATTTTGTCAAATGCTTTTTCAGCATCCAATGAAATGATCATATGGTTTTTTTCTTTCAGTTTATTTATATGATGGATTACATTGATAGATTTGCGTATGTTGAACCAGCCCTGCATCTCTGGGATGAAGCCTACTTGATCATAATGGATAATTTTTCTAATGTGTTCCTGGATTCAGTTTGCCAGGATCTTATTGAGAATTTTCGCGTCGATGTTCATGAGTGAGATTGGCCTGTAATTCTCTTTCTTGGTTGTGTCTTTACGTGGTTTTGGTATTAAGGTAACTGTAGCTTCATAAAAGGAGTTTGGCAATGACTCTTCTGTTTCTATATTATGGAATACATTAAGGAGTATAGGAATTAGCTCTTCCTGGAAGTTCTGGTAGAATTCTGCATTGAAACCATCTGATCCTGGGCTTTTTTTGGCAGGGAGATTTCTGATAACAGCTTCTAATTCTTCACGACTAACAGGTCTATTTAGATTGTTCACCTGTTCTTGGTTCAACTTTGGTATATGGTACTTATCTAAAAAAATGTCCATTTCTTTTACATTTTTCAACTTTGTGGCATATAAACTTTTGTAGTAAGATCTAATGATTCTCTGAATTTCCTCTGTGTCTGTGGTTATATCCCCCTTTTCATTTCTGATCCTATTAATTTGCATGTGCTCTCTCTGCCGTTTGATTAGTTTGGATAGGGGTTTGTCAATCTTGTTGATTTTCTCCAAGAACCAGCTTTTTGATTCATTGATTCTTTGGATTGTTTTCTCTGTTTCTATTTTGTTGATTTCAGCCCTCAGTTTGATTATTTCCAGTCTTCTACTCCTCCTGGGTGAATCAGCTTCTTTTTTTTCTAGAGCTTTCAAGTGTGCTGTTAGGTCTCCAATGTGTGCTTTCTCCGTTTTCTTTATTTGGGCACCTATTGCTATGAACTTTCCTCTTAGCACTGCTTTCATAGTGTCCCATAGGTTTGAGTATGTTGTGTCTTTGTTTTCATTAAATTCAAGGAAGACTTTAATTTCTTTCTTAATTTCGTCCTTGACCCAGGGGTGATTTAGTAGTTGACTGTTCAACTTCCATGAGTTTGTTGACTTCCTGGGGTTAGCATTGTTGTTGAATTCTAATTTTAATCCATGGTGATCTGACAAGACACAGGTGGTTACTAATATTTTTTTGTATCTGTGGAAGTTTGCTTTGTTACTGAGTATGTGGTCAATCTTTGAGAAGGTTCCATGAACTGCAGAGAAGAAGGTATATTCTTTCCTATTTGGGTGGAGTGTTCTATAGTTGTCTGTTAAGTCCATTTGATTCAATACCTCCAATAAATCTCTTAATTCTCTGTTTGGTTTCTGTCTGATTGACCTGTCCATTGGTGAGAGAGGAGTGTTGAAGTCTCCTACTATTAGCGTGTGTGGTTTGATGACTGCCTTGAGTTCTAGAAGAGTTTCTTTTACATATGTGGGTGCCTTTATATTAGGGGCATAGATATTCAGGATTGAGACTTCTTCCTGATGAGTTGTTCCTGTTATGAGTATGAAATGTCCATCTCCATCTCTTCTGATTGATTTTAGTTTGAAGTCGATTTTGTTAGATATTAGAATGGCCACACCCGCTTGTTTCTTAGGTCCATTTGCTTGGAAAACCTTTTCCCAACCCTTTACTCTGAGTAGGTGTCTGTCTTTGTGGTTGAGGTGTGTTTCTTGTAAACAGCAGAATGTTGGATCCTGTTTTCGTATCCAGTCTCTAAGTCTGTGCCTCTTTATAGGTGAATTGAGTCCATTGATATTAAGAGATATTAATGACCATTGGTTGTTGACTCCAGTCATTTTTTTGGGGGGTAATAGAGTGTATGTGTTTTCCTTCTTTGAATTGTGCTAGTGAAGGGTTGCTAGATGTCTGAATTATTGTAGACAGTGTTGGCAATGTTGGATTCCTTGGGATGTAATTTTCCTTCTAGTATTCTCTGTAAGGCTGGATTAGTAGTTACGTATTGTTTAAATTTGTTTTTATCCTGGAATATTTTGTTTTCTCCGTTGATAGTGAATGAAAGCTTGGCTGGGTAAAGTAGTCTGGGCTTGCATCCATGGTCCCTTAATTTCTGCAGTACCTCTATCCAGGACCTTCTGGCTTTCATGGTTTCTATAGAGAAGTCTGGTGTAAGTCTGATAGGTTTACCTTTATAGGTTACTTGACCTTTTTCCTTTGCAGCTCTTAATATCCTTTCTTTAATCTGACTGCTTTGTGTTTTGATTATTATATGGCAAGGGGATGTTTTTTTCTGATCCAGTCTATTCGGTGTTCTGTATGCTTCTTGCACCTTCATAGGAATATCCCTCTTTAGGATGGGAAAGTTTTCTTCTATAATTTTGTTGAATATATCTTCTGGACCTTTGATCTGCAATTCTTCTCCTTCTTCTACTCCTATTATTCTTAGATTTGATTTTTTTTATTATGTCCCATATTTCCTGAATGTTTTGTGATGAGAATTTGTTGGATTTGCTGTTTTCTTTGGTCAGGGCGTTTATTTTCTCTATGGTGTCTTCATAATCTGAGATTCGTTCTTCTATCTCTTGTATTCTATTGGTTAAGCTTGATTCTGTAGTCTCCGTTCATTTACCTAGATTTTCCATATCCAGCCGGCCCTCGGTTTGTGTTTTCTTCACTGCCTCCATTTCAGTTTTCAATTCTTGAACTGATTCCATTACCTGTTTGATTGCTTTTTCTTGGTTTCCCAGGGTATCATTTACGAATTTACTCATTTCTTCAAACTTTTTGTTATATTTGTCTTCCATTTCTTTACTCATTTCTTCCATCTTTTTGTTATATTTCTCTTCTATTTCTTTAAGTGAGTTATTCATACCCTGTTTAAGAGACTCTATTGCTTTCATAATGACACTGTTTTCCACTTCTTCCGGAATAGGGCGTTCAAGTACTTCTGTCGTAAGATTGCTGGGATCTGGTGTTTTCATGTTGTTTTTCAGATTGTTGGAGGAATTCTTGCCTTGGCGCCTGCCCATCTCTTCCTTCAGATGCTCTCCAATGGCTCTTCCCTCCGCTGGGTCTTCTTCTACTGGATTAGTGCCCCTTGCTATCCAGGAATCACTTTGCCTGCAGCCTTAGCTTGCTGCAGGCAGGCTATTAGAACAAAGGGACTTCCTTCCCTTTGCACTCACCACCTGTCCCGACCCGAGGTGCCCACCCCGGCTGAGATGGAGGAATTTAAGCCCCGAAAAAGGGAGAGAGGAGGGGAGGGGTTCGAGGCCGAAAGCTGGGATGGCGTAGCAGGAGAGAGGGATTAGCTGGGGGAAGCTGCCCCTTTGGAGTAGCCAGGGAGATAAGGATGGCGGGAATATTGTGTGTTCCCTAACCGGACTTGTATGGCAGTCAACACACTTACCCCTCCACAGGATCAGAGCCCCTTGCTGGTCAGAAGACTCCCTGCCTGCGGTCTTAGCTTGCTGCAGGCCGGCTATCAGAACAAAGGGACTCCTGTCCCTTTGCACGCACCGCCTGCCCCGGCCCGCGGTGCCCACCCCGGCTGAGATGGAGGAATTTAAGCCCCGAAAAAGGGAGAGAGGAGGAGAGGGGTTCGAGGCCGAAAGCTGGGATGGCGTAGCAGGAGAGAGGGATTAGCTGGGGGAAGCTGCCCCTTTGGAGTAGCCAGGAAGATAAGGATCTCATTAGCAGCTTTTAATATTGTTTCTTTGCTTTGTATTCTTGACATCTTGATTACATGTCATGGGGGCATTTTGATATGGAATACTTCATGAATTTGTGTGTCATCCTTGCACAGGGTCCATGCTAATCTTCTCTGTATCATTCCAATTTTTAGTATATGGGCTGTCAAAGCATGTCATGGGGACTTTTTTTTCCCCTCTGATCTTGTCTATTTAGGAGTCTCAATACTTCTTGTACTCACATTCCTCCTCCAGATCTTAGAAATTCTCTGCTTTAATTTAATTAAATAAAATTGTTCGTGTTTAAAAATTTTATCTCAGTTCCTTTTTCTACTCCATGAATTTTAGGCGTGCTGTTTTGAATGTCTTCCAGGGTTCTCAGAAGGTTCAGTCATGATTATTAATTTTTCTGGGTTTCTAAATGTATCGTCTCAACCTTGTCTTCCGCCCCTGAAATTCTTTCTTCCTCTCAATCTGTTGATGCTACTGGCCATTGTGTTATTTACTCACTGATTGATTCATTTCCAGAATTTCTCTTTGGTTGATTTTCCTTGTTGGATTTTCCTCTCCATGCTTCTGAATTTCTCCTCTTAATTGCTTATTGTTTAATCTATTTTGTTACCTTTTTTTTCTGGGAGGGGTTTAGGTCCTGAATTGATTTCTTTGCTTACTTGAGTCTTCTATGATCTCTTTGTTCATTTAAAATATAAGACTCTGAAATTCTTTCATTTATCCCTGTGTCTTTGCTTTCCAGCATGAAGTTCTGAGATATTGTAATGACCAGCTTCTGTTTGTTGTTTGGTGATTAGATTGTAGTGTCCCAAGAAGCCCGCTGTGTGTCTAAACATGAAATAAACACTTGTGCTTGCTTTTGAGCAGGCATGTATGGGTTAGACAAAAAACAAAGCTGGCTTTACTTTGGAGCAATTTGCCAGTCAGAAGCCAGCTGGTTTGAAGATGCGGTAATCAAGTGGATATCACTCCAGCTGCATGTATGGGACATTTTGGCCTGTAAGGGTATACACTCCTCAGGTGCCAGCAGAGGAAAATATGAGCCTCAGATGTGTACAGGCTTGCAGGGCCAGGCCCCAAGCTTCTGTGGGAGAAAAAGGAATCTAGTTATTATTGTATTCTTACTCCTGTGGGGTAAGAATTGTCAACACTCCCCCCTCCAAGAGGCATGAATATTAGTTCTTAGAGGAATAAAAAAAAGGTTAAAAAATGCATGAAGTCCAGTGATACCTACAACACACACACACAGTAAACCTATGACATTAAAATTCCACCTGGAAAGTAACGATAAGAAAACATCTAGATACTACTGTTCTAGATTGAGAGGAAAAGTCACAGATGACTCTGGCATTTGGACACATCAAGGCTTTTCCACGGTGTGCAAGGTCTTCTCCCCATCTCATGACATCCCAGTGACAGGGCGTGTGTTTATTTGGACCATTTCTTGGGTGGGTAGGGGGAGGAATGAAGAGGGTGGGTAGTGGGGCTATGCCCTTTCACATTTCTGCTTCCCAGGAGATCATTAGAAACACGAGGATGAGCCTCTACGTGGGATGAGTGGATGACGGAAACCTAGACTGATGTCCTCGAGCTTTGCTTCTCCACGGGAAGAACTGGAATGTCGATCTTTGGTCTCTTGATTGCATCTGCTCAGGTGGGACCACCACTTCTCAGTTCTTTTTGGGGAGCCCATGAGGTGGGACCACCACTTTTCAGTTCTTTTTGGGGAGCCCATGAGGTGGGACCACCACTTCTCAGTTCCTTTTGGGAAGCCCATGGTGAGTTTCTCTCTAAGTTCCTGGGGACACAGGCGTCTCCTACAGCTCCCTCCCCCTGCCACCAGAAACTCTGCTGGTGTTCCCTGCTCATGAGGTAAATCAAGGAGAGCAAGGAGGAACCTATCATTTACCTTGTAGCTGTCTACTCCAAGGGACCCCTGGCATTTACTGCAGTCAAGCACTGCTTAGGAAAGGGGACATTCCTTCTTCAGGGGTCGGTATGACCAAGCAAATGCTACATCCTCTCTTCCATTGTCCTCATCTTCTCTACCCGCTTACACATTCTTCATGTAAGGTGACGTTCCTCATATGGGATCCAATGTCTCCACATATGTATTCTCATTCCACTAGACAGGAGATGAGTGGACACCTCTGGCTTCATGTCCAGTGTCATATCACATCGGGCTCCACAGGGATCCTCTGGTTGCACTTGCATGCCTGTTAGTAACTCACGATCATGTGAGACTTGGTAGAGGCTCAGAGATGCCCTTTAACGTAAAGTAAACCCAGCTCCTTTAGAAAGTGGAGGAATAAGAAGGGAGCAGGAAAGCAAATTTTGGGCAACTATTAGCAGAGCATGAGAGGCCTTACCAGGAAGTGTGAGGGTGGAGCTGGCACGGTGGAGGAGACACCATAGGAGGGTCTAGCAGAGGAAAACTAGTAGTTAAGTGACCTTACAGCCTCAGAAAGTTAGCTTTGCAGGTTAAACAAAAGTATGTCAAATATCTATAATTCTTGCGTTTGGTGGGGTCAGAGGACTGGGAGTTTGAGACAGCTGGGACTATGTTCAAAGACACAAAGGAAAGGCTGCCGAGATGGCTCAGTGGATAAAGGCATTTGCTACCTCAGCCTGACGACCCGACTTTAATCCCCAGTCATCAGGGAGCAAGGATTTATAATGTTGAACAATGAGTAGAACTTTGGTCTCCCTGACTATTCTGTGTATCTTATTTTGGCAAAATGAGCTGCAGGTCAAAGGGAAAGTCGATTAACTATAGTACTACTTTCTTCCTTTTTCTCTCTTTGTGACAATGAAAGAAGAGCTTGCACATGAAGAAAACAGGTATCTTCTATGGTGGTTTGAATGAGAAGGGCCCACATACGGAGTAGGAGGCCACTTGTTCGTTTGTTTCCTGGCTGCCCAGACTTTTAAAATAACCATACAGAAACTGTATTAATTAAATCACTGCTTGGCCCATTAGTTCTAGCTTCTTATTGGCTAACTCCTACATGTTAATTTAACCCATTTCTATTAATCTGTGTATCACCACATGGCTGTGGCTTACTGAGTAAAGTTACGGTGTCTGTCTCTGGAGGAGCTACATGCTTCTCTCTGGCTCCACCATTTTTTCTCCCAGCATTTAGTTTAGTTTCCCTTGCCTAGCTCTGTTCTACCCTATCACAGGCCCAAAACAGCTTCTTTATTAACCAATGGTATTCACAGCATACAGAGGGGAATCCCACATCACACATAGGCTCATAAGTTTGAATACTTGATCTCTTATTAATGGAACTATTTGGGAAGGATAGGGAGGTGTGGCCTTGTAAGAGTAGGTGTGTCACTTTTGAGGTTTCAAAAGCCCACATCAGGCCCAGTCTCTCTCTCTCTCTCTCTCTCTCTCTCTCTCTCTCTCTCTCTCTCTCT